GCTGAAACAGTTAAAACAACATTAAACTTTAAAAAAAAAAATCATGACATGCATTTTTACTACTGTTTTAACTTCTTAACATACTAATCCAGGTTCAGTTTTAGTTAATTTTCCACACTAAAAAATATACAGCACAGGTAAAGGGTAAAGCATATGGAAAAAAATACAAAAGTGCGAATTGAGGCCTATATAAGTTGTGAAACTTTAAGCATAAGCAACCTGAATAAAAGGAAATGGTAAAAAAAAAAGTAAAGACACAAATTAAGTATCATAAGCACAGACGAAAAAAACAAATGCCTAAGTAAGTAAATAAATACTGTATATTAGAATATAGAGAACACCGGGCAGGTAAAGACTCAATAATTAGAAATAGAATTGATTGTGAAAAAATTAATGTAATAAAAGAAAAAAATAATAATAATAAAAAAATGAGTAAGGACCCAAACATTTGTGACAATTTACTATCCGATGGCATGCAGAGATTTAACAAAAGTTCTGATGGCCTGTTTTGACAAACGATTTTATTTGCGCATTCAACTTTAAATTGTCTGTGAAGTAAATACCCAGAAAAGTAAATATTTGACAACATCTACTTTTACAACATCATTTAGTGGGATTTTCTTGTTATACGCTTATTATCACTGTGCATTGTCTTAGTGTTATTTGCATGTAGACTAAGTATATTATTGCGCTATCATTGAACTGTATGAATTATTGGCTTAATGATAATATTAACAAAAACACCAATATTAGAAATAATGAGTAAAAGAAATTAAAAAGTAAAAATCAAACATAGGCAGCAGGCTTGATAGAATTCAGTTAGACAAAACATTACCCATATGCCTATAATTTAAGTAGGTACGACACCGTCTTACCTTCGACTTCAACATTAAATGTACAGCCGCCTGTATTTCCAGCAGTATCTGTAGCAGAACAAGTAACGGCAGTTGTACCAACTCTAAAATATGAACCAGGAGCACGAGAACAATTGGCTGACAGAGTAGAATCAACATTGTCGGTGACTATCGGCTCATTCCAGGTTGCTGATAATGTTGACTGGCCTTGAACTGCAGTTTGACTGACGTAATTAGGACAGGTCACGGTCGGAATTTCAATATCTGTTTCAATTTAATATTAATTTTAAATAACATTCCTATTTCATCTGACTCATCAGGGAAAATAAAATATATTGTTTGTTTGCCCTTCTTTTTTTTAAAAATTATAAATAGGTGGCGGGTGGAAAAATTTTTTTATTAATTTTTTAAAAAAAATACTCAGATGGAATGAAAATAACCCACAGAGCCCTAGAATGGCAATATCTTACATTAGACAACAACTTTTAGGGCATCTGGCAAAAAATATAGATAAATTCACACACATATTCTTTTTAATTTGTAAAGAAAAAAGCTAAAAAAAACCCCTTTTTTTCCGCCCCTATTTCTTAAAGTGAGTTAGGGGCGGCTGTAGGAGGGCAAACAAACAATTTTTTTTGGCTTTAGTGTGAAACAGTTATGGAAATCTAACAGCATTTTTCTCAATGTATGACTGAATATAATAACAAAACAGTACTATAAACTGAAACTACATGGGATAAATCTATTACATGCCACACACCATCCCATTAAATGGCTTTTAGAAAAATGTAAACAATTAAGTTTTTTTGCATCATTGATTTCTCTAATGACAGATAGCAGCCTCTTTATTAGCCTATCTGTACACATTTTAAAAGATGACTGGGGTATGTTTCTGATTTTTGTACATTCAACAGGTTTTATTTATCTTCATCATTAGAACAACTATTACACAATTCAATGCATTATACAATCAAGATACTATTAACTTTTGATTTGTGAAAACAACCTACGATTTAAAAACTAATCACAAACTCCCCAGGGGTGGATTTAGATTCACATTCGCAAGGGGGGGGGGGGGGTGTCAGACTTTTTATAAAAACGGCAAAAAAAAAAAAAACAAAAGGGGGTCCAAATTTTGATTCTTAGATGGCGGGAAGAGATTTCCAGATTTCTGACGTATCTTTTAATGACTTTTAAGTTCTTCAAAATTCAAAGTTTCCCCCCTCTTGAAAACGGACACTAAGGCCTACCGTATTTATGTGTGTATATATACTTTAAAAAATGGAGTTGCTTACCTATTCTTTTTTCCATAAATGGATAACCCGAAAGAGAAAGGGGTTCCGGGAAAAATTTGATCACTAGATGCAAGAATTGATTTTTTATTCAAATTCAAGGTTTTCCAATTTTGTAAATGGTCAGTTAAATTTTTTCTCATTGTTATTACAGTAAATAGGCCTTTGTGTGTACCAGTACACACAGCTTTTATTTTTTTTTCCCAAAATCCTCCAATGAACTCCTAATTTAATAAAAGCGTTGATGGCATTTTTTTCAACACGAACTTACTTGTTCATTTCAATACAAATCATCTGTAAAGTAAATACCTAGAAACGTAACGATTTGACAACGCCCACTGTGGCGTTATACACCTAAAATTAATATATTATATATTATTAGTTTCATTTACATCTAGACCAAAGCTGTTATTGCAATACCATTGAACTATAACTATTAAAGTATCTGTTTATGACTAACAATAACACCATAATAAGAACAGGGTTCGTACGTTTTTAAACAAGCAAATTTCCAGGACAATTCCAGGACATTCAAGGTCAAATTTTCCAACTTTCAAGGACACAATATATAAATTAACAATAAAATATCGGCGATTTTACGACTGATTATAAAATATATATGCTGTACTACTTTTAAATGCATTTGTTAGTTGAATGTATATTAAGTTTTATCAAACTCTAATTTGGAGGCGATGGACCTGTCTCTTTTTCTCACGCTCGTGGGAAATAAAGTTTTTCTCACATGTGTAAAATTTGATGTTAAGCAAAGGAATTCCCACGAGTATGGGGAAGTACCGATAAAGTAAGGCAGGACTGATCGCCTACAGTTACGTAGAATTCTCCACTCGGCAACATAAATGTGCACGTACAACAATGGTATCTTTGCTTAAACGTGACAGTGTCTTTGTGGTACCGGCGTACCCGAATAACTCGGTTTTTTTGTGGCGCCGCGGGGTGGCTTACCGCCTGTCCAGGGTTGTTGTCCAGCGAACAGCTGTGGCAAAGTTGACATGTACAGTAAAACAATATAGCCTTCGATGGGTTATGTTGCAGAGACATCAATGCATCTCATTTCATATATATTTAGGTGTTTATAAATGTTGTCTAAACGAATGATGTACTATATTATTAATTAATTTAATGATTATGCTTTATTCTCAACACATAATTATACTATACTTTATTATTTATCATTATTCATTACATTATTATTAATATTTAGGTCTATTATTATTAGGCCTTAGTTGTAGGCCTACAACTTTTATAATCTACTCTACAGCAAAATGTTAACGTACGGCACCATCCTATCGGCACTGATCAGCTGCCGACCAGCATTGTTTTTTAATGACTTTGTAAATTTCAGAAACATAATTAACAAAATATTTGCCCTAAATTCACGAACTTCTAACAGTAAACGCCCTTCAAACACCATTCACTAAGAAAATAACTGTAGAAGTACACGTTCCCATGGTTACTTTAATTGTTAATTAACTGCCTTGCGCTGGTTAGGGCCAAAACATGCCCATTCGTGCTGAACAAGTGTGCATGTCTGGAGAGTGATGAATTACCCAAAGCGAATTCACCGGGCTGAGCACGTGCGACAAGACCTGTTTAACAAATTGAATGTTAATTGAAAGTTCAAGTTTACACGACACGTTTAACAAGTTTAACACACGACAAAAAGCAAATAACACCATAGCAGATGTCAACAAAGTTAACGATTATGATTATCAATGTCTGGATTAAAATTAAATGCAAACATAATTAATATGCAAGATTTCAAAAAAAGCTCCGCCTTAATTAAAATATAGGCTAACAACTTTATTCACTGAATTGCAGTTTGTCTGAATCAGTCATTCGGCCATTTTCAGCAATGACATTCTTTCTGTCTTAATAACATTCCTGAATTGGCGGCTTACAAAGACTTGCTGATTCTCCCAAGAGTACTGTGGAACCTACTTGTAGGAACGTTTCTCATTCAATTACTCTTACTAGGCAACTTGTAGTACTGCAATTAATGGTAAATTATCAAATTTCCAGGACATTCAAGGACAATCTTAAATTTTCAGGACTTTCCAGTACTGGAAAATGCTCATTTGTTTTTCCAGGACATTCAAGGAATTTAAGGACGCGTACGAACCCTGTAAGAACTACGTTGAAATTAGAATGTAAGCGAAATATGGTTTAATAGTTTTTTGCCGGACAAAGCAACATTACATATACACTGTATAATTTAAGTAGATATGAAACTATCTTACCTATAACTTCAACATTAAATGAACAGCTGCCTGTGTTCCCAGCAGTATCTTCAGCAGAACATTTAACTGTAGTGGAACCAACACTAAACGATGAACCATTTGCACGAGAACAAGTGGCTGACAGACTAACATCGACATTGTCGATAACTGTTGGTTCATGCCAGGCTGCTAATGATGTTGACTGGCCTTCAACTGTGAATTTACTGATGTCAGAAGGGCAGATCACATTTGGAATGTCTTCATCTGCTTAAAATTAATATTAAATTTAAATTACAGTCCTACCGCATCTTACTAATTCACCATCATCCTTACATCATATATTTAGCGCTATTTTAGAAGATCAGAGCGCTTTCTGCTTTTTAAATTTTTTTACTAACATTCTGTGACAATGAAATACATCTAACACAAAAAAAATCAGAAAAGATTAAAAAAAAAACCCAGATAAAACCAATAGTATTAAAAACATGTTTACTTTTAAACCCTAACGACACAAACAATTCGAACAGGTTTTCTTTTTACTTTTATCCTTTCGTACTTTTTGCAGTAACATACTTACGTCTGAAGTTTGTTTAGTTCAACAGTGTTTCGGGCTATAATCCTCTAATCATCTATATCCCCGCTTCCCAAACTTTATTCTCTGGGACCCAATTTGTGATTTCCCTGACAGGCCACGACACATATAATATTAAATGTCATAGTAATTTGCACATCGACCTTTATAACATCCCAAAAATTTGATGCTTATGTTTTAAAAAATGACTATTTGACACTAGTGTTACAGCGATTATTGTTTACTAATGATCTCCCTTTTGAGAAACCAGTATCGGATACAGGAATTGGTAATAGAGGGGGGGCCGAACTGAGAGGGTTTTTCTCAGATAGAGGGTCCATCCACCTTAGCCCCACCATGGTTGTGCCTGAGGTAAGAATTTTATGGTTATGGTACCCATAAATGGCCGGAAAAGGCCCTCTCAGATTGAATTTGAATACAATTTTCCTTTTTTAGTTCCTTTGTGACCTTAGGTCACATGGAACTAATGTAATGGTTCACATGTAAAATGTGTGTATGAGATGTGACACCAAAAGAGGTCAGCATATTTGTAAACAAATAGGCTCCAAAACGGTGCATAGCAGCAGGTATACATTGTGCTCGATAGTTGCTGGTGGACATGCAATTGTGCAAGAAATGTTTGTTTTTTTCGGTTAGATGAAAAATGTAAGCTGTAGGCGATAAAACATATACCCATTACCACCAGTTTTGAGTCGTTTTTTAGTCGAAAATTTGATTTGCGCATGCGTCGGGTCAAACTTTCCCGACATTTTGTTTCTGTCGCGAGCAGCAAACTGAGATAGTTGTGGCATATCGGCCACTTACTGCTATTATTTGAAGGTGTTCTGTGTGTTCTATTAGTGTTTTAGTATACTTTAACGGCTAAGATCGACGGACCCATGGGCTCAAGCTAGACAGATGGCGCCTTTGCGATCTGAACTTTTTGGGAGTAGGTTAACGACTGGTGTATAGGCCGCACCCCAAATTTTGAGGGGAAAATCGCGTGTAAAATTGCGGCTTATTCACCGGAAAATACAGTTTATGGAGCAAAAACCTGTTTTTCTTCATGATTTTAAAGGGGGTGGGAGAATTTGTATGAGGCTGGGCAGAAGGCCTTAAAAATAGCTTTAGGATCGGCGCAAGACGTCAAGAGTGGGCGGCGCTGCCCACCTCCGCCCTGCATATAACGACATCCCTGCACTTCTCAGAACCCCTTACCCACTCCCCCTTTCATAAATTTCTGGATTTGCCTTTGATTTTTTTGACTCAAAATGAAAATACTGTATTACCTTACACAATCATTATTCAAAAAGATACAATCAAGTTTGCAATTCACAAATGTACATTGATTTTTTATGTACAAAGGAACGTACGCACCCGCAGGGTTCTGGTTTCTCCATTTTTTTTTTTTAATTTGAGGGTGGGGGAGCCTTGAACCCTCCACTGGAAATAAGACAACTTTCAATCTTTGAAACGAAAATATAATCAACATTTTTGCAGAAAATATTTTCAACCATTGGATTATATAGTTAAAGCCTAAACTTTAACCCTGTTACCAGTTGCTTATCAAGGATTTAGGGAATGGTGGGGAGGTGCTAATGAAATGAGAGTTGAGACAATTAGAATTTTCGGTATTTTCTACATCTGGATTCCCGAAAATGGAACTTAATTTACTTTTAAATTCTTTTTATTTTTGACAAAATGAGTTTATAAAACCCCCGAATTAAATACTGTAAATAGGTGCTGAAAAGGGCATTTATAGATTTAAAATTCCTAAAATAACATATCCACTTGAGCCCCACCATGGTTGAAAAATTTAAAGAAGTTGAGTATTATAGATACCAGAAAATAGCACTTGAGTACTACAAAATCTATGATATCTACCCGAGCCCCACCATGGTTTTAGGCGCAGATGACTATATTTTAAGAATTTGAGACTTAATTGATGCCCGAAAACGGCACTTGGATACTTAAAATTTATGGAAACTACCATCAACCTCAGCCAACCAGGGTTGAGGCTAAAGTTAGACAATTGTAAGAATTTGGGATTTCCAGATGCCGAAAAATGGCATATAACATTTAAGAAGTGGCACTTTTATTTTGTTTCAACCTCTGAAGGGGGTGCTCAAACACCCCCCAAGTGCCACTGCACTGGTTACTACTGCCTTGTCAACCAAACACCATGACAGGGGCTTTTTGGTATAATTATTGTTTGCATTTGCAAGAGATACACATTTAAAACTCATTTGGATAATGTTATTTTTAGGTCACCTTACAGTAATTTCTTGTTTCCAGTTTATTTCTGTAAATTGTATTTATTAACAGTTGAGAGCTTAGATTTACACAATTATGTTGTAGTAAACGGCAGCTGAAAAATAATATTGGTCATACGAAGTTCAGAATATTCATTGTGGGTACATATTAAAATATTGTTCAAATGAGGATTCACCTAAACATGCTGTTTTTAAGTTGTCAGACCTGATTACAAAATGAGCACATAGAATTTTTTTTTTTTTTTGCAAACCGATCCACGACCCAACACAAAAGTTTGGTGACCCATTTTTGGGTTGCAACCTTTAGTTTGGGAAGCATGGATCTATCATGATGTGTACAGGGCCCATGTAGCACATTTTAACCCGGCTAGTCTAGTCGGATGTTCAGATTTACTTAGTCATTTTGTAAAATGTTGAAATATTCAAATAAAGTGAAACCAGGTTTAATAGATGTTAATAAGAAATTGTAACAATACCATTATATAATATTTAATTAGATAAGAAAACATCATGCCTTTGACTGTAACATTAAATGTACAGCTGCCTGTGTTTCCAGCAGTATCTTTAGCAGAACATATAACTGGAGTTGAACCAACACTAAATGATAAACCAGATACAGGAGAACAAGTAACTGACAGACTAGAATCAACGTTGTCGGTGACTGTAAGGTCATTCCAGGTTGCTGATGATGTTGACTGGCCTTGATCTGTGGCTTGACTCATATCATCAGGGCAGCTCACACTCGGAACTTCAATATCTATTTTAATATAATAAATTTCAAAATTATATTCCTATTGCATCTTACTCATAATTTGATCAGTAATGAAATATATCATATTTCCCTATAACTGACATAACACTACGATACTATTAACGATAATATTAACAATAACAGAAATGTTACTTAATAACAATACTACGACGACGGTAGTGGCAATAAACGAAGAGCCAAAATATAATGATAAAAATATAACAAGACTTAAGGCAGAGGTTGAGTCAGAAATTTAAATAAATTTGATCCCCACATGACAATTGAAGTAATGTAATTTTTATATACCTACACATCTGATGTATCAAATAAAACCAGAAAAAAATTATCATTAAGTGGTTTATTTTACACTTTTAAGCAAACCAGAAGTGCTAATTTTGCTTAAAAATCATTAAAGCTTCATTAATAACTCACTTAATATTAGTCTTTTTTGGAACTGCAAAAAAAAATGTACTAAATAAATAGTGCCCTCTGTAATTCCTTTTGTTATGTATTCCACCAAGCATGTAAACATAGGTTTTATCCATCTTGTTTACTTGAGTGTTTTTGCGCTTTGAGGTTAAATAAAAATCCTTTAAAATCGTCATTAAATTTCTGAAATCACTACTTCTGTCATATAAATACTGTATGGCTAAAGGAAGAGTAGTTTATGGATGCAATTCACTAACAAAAACAATTTCTTTAAGAAGTAACTACTACTTGGAGTACTGCAAGCATTTATTATCATCATTTTCTGTAAAGCATATCTGCATCATCTTTTCGTCCTATGCACAATTTCATTATCGTTATTATTATCACCATTACTATTAAAACGTTTTTATTAATACTACTGTTTTGTTTACTGTAGGCCTACTTCATCACATCTTTGTTTCATACAGTTGAAATTAAAAAGTAAAAAGAAAACATAGGTTGCCGGTTTGACAGCTTTTAAGGCCTGTTTATTCTTCAACGATAATGATAACGATAAAAAAGCGATTGTTCACAGAAAACAAAAGAAATAAAAGAAGTTTGTACACTAGGACAATTCGATAACGATTTTTCATGTATATTGTAACAAAATATTTAAAAAATTCAAATCGGATGACGTCATAATGATGGAAAACAATAAAATCGTTGCTACTACTACGATTTTAAGGTTTTTCCATGATTATGACGTCATTTGATTTGATTTGTCAAAATATGTTGTTATCGCATAACTGTTAAATTGTTATCGAATCGTTCTAGTGTACAAGCTTCTCTTATTTCTTTTATTTTCTATATGAACAATTGCTTTTTAGCATTTTTATCGTTATCATTATCGTTGAAGTATTAACAGGCCTTTACTCGGACAAACATTACCCATATGCCTATAATTTAAGTAGGTACGAAACCGTCTTACCTTCGACTTCAACGTTAAATGTACAGCTGCCTGTTTTTCCAGCAGTATCTGTAGCAGAACAAGTAACGGCAGTTGTACCAACTCTAAAATAAGAACCAGAAGCACGAGAACAATTGGCTGACAGAGTAGAATCAACATTGTCAGTGACTATCGGCTCATTCCAGGTTGCTGCTGATGTTGACTGGCCTTGAATTGTGGTTTGACTGATGTCATCAGGACACATAACAGTCGGAATATCAATATCTGTTTAAATTTAATATTAAATTTAATTAACATTCTTATTGCATCTGACTCATTAGTATTTAACAGTTACAGAAATGTATCCGTAGTTTTTCATTATAAATGAATATAATAACAAACCAGTAGTATTAACGATAATATTAACAATAACTTAAACTAAATAGTAGAAAGCTATCACATGTTAGACACCACCCCATTTATTTAATTAATTAAACGTCTTTCAGAGAAACGTAACCAATTAAGTGAATGTGTATTATTGATTTCTATAATGACGGATAGCTGCATTGTTTATAAGCCTATCTGTATAAACATTGTTAAGAGATCGTTGGGGTATGATTCTGATTTTGTACGTTAAACAAGTTTTCTTTACATTCATTATTAGGACAAACTATTAAGTAATGCAATAAATTCTACAATCAGGACACTTTTAACTTTTCATTTGTGAAAACAACTTATGATTTCCAAACATCTTAACCACCTAAATAAAAGCGTTGATGGCCTTTTTTACACATTACTGTATTTGTTCATTTCACATTATATCGTATGTGAAGTGAATGCCTATAAATGTAAAGATTTGACAACACCCACATTCTCATTCTATAAGTAAAATTAATATATTATTGCTAGTGTTATTTACACGCAGACTAAGGCTGTAATTTTAATACCATTGAACTATATTAAAGCATCTGCTTAATAATATTAACAATAACACAAAATTATAGAACCAATGCTAAAATTACAAAAGTAAGCACACCATGGACAACATGGCTTAATGGATTTTAGCTGGACAAAACAACATTACCTATATAATTAAAAAGATACGGAACCATCTTACCTATAACTTCAACATTAAATGTACAACTGCCTGTGTTCCCAGCACTATCTTCAACAGAACAATTAACTGTAGTTGAACCAACACTAAACAATGTACCGGATGCACGAGAACAAGTGGCTGACAGACTAAAATCAACATTGTCGATGACCACTGGTTCACGCCAGGTTGCTGTTGATGTTGACTGGCCTTCAATTGTGAATTTACTGATGTCAGAAGGGCAAATCACATTTGGAATTTCTTCATCTGCATAAAATTAACATTAACTTCAAATTAAATCCCTATCGCATTTAACTAATATGAAATAGTATTAAATATCTATCAGTAGCATTTAATTATACCTAAATATAATAATATTATTAATACTAACAATAACACCAATACTATTGAAAATGCCAATGCCAGTAGTTGTGATGATTATCACAAGAAATGAAAATAAGACACAGAAACATACGGATAGTCTACAAAAATATACTTCCTTTAAAATAGCAAAAGTTTAGATAAAATAATGATTCAACGTGGTTACTTTTAACCCATGACGACACAAGTAACTCATTCAGGTTTTCTATCTGACGTTTAGCTTATCGTACAAGGAAAGGCATAATAAAAACTGATGTTGAATTATTCAAGTAAAGTAAAAACAGGCTTAATAAATGTTAGCAGGACAATGTAACAATATCATTAGATATTATTTAATTAGATAAGAACACCATACCTTTGACTGTAATATTAAATGTACAGCTGCCTATGTTTCCAGCAGTATCTTTAGCAGAACATATAACTGGAGTTGAACCAACACTAAATGATAAACCAGATACATGGGAACAAATGACTGACAAACTAGAATCAACATTGTCGGTGACTGCTGAGTCATTCCAGGTTGCTGATGATGTTGACTGGCCTTGAACTGTGGTTTGACTGATGTCATCAGGGCACATCACAGTCGGAACTTCAATATCTATTTCGATATAATATTAAAAATGTCAATGCTAGTAGTTGTGATGATTGTCATGACATTAAATGAAAATAAGACACTAAAACATATATATATTGTACAAAAATAAACTTCCTTTAATATAGAAAATTTTAGATAAAATAAAGTTTCAACATGGTTGCTTTTAAACAATAATGATACAAGCAATTCGTTCAGGTTTTCTACAGTATCCGACGTTTAGCCTTTCGTACTTCCACGGCAATATTTATACTTCCATGGTACTTCAGCGGTAATATACTTGTGTCTGTAATTTGTTTCGTTCTATAGTGCTTCAGGTCTATATTCCACCGTTCATCTATATGAACATCATTTTATGGAATGGTACGCTAATATACTTTCTTTGTTTGTAAAACAGAGCATGAGACATTTTCTATAATGGCATAATAAAAATTGATGTTGAATTATTCAAGTAAAGTAAAAACAGACTTAATAGATGTTAGCAGGACAATGTAACAATATCATTATATACTATTAAATTCAATAAAAACACCATACCTTTGACTGTAACATTAAATGTACAGCTGCCTGTATTTCCAGCAGTATCTTTAGCAGAACATATAACTGGAGTTGAACCAACACTAAATGAGAAACCAGATACAGGAGAACAAGTAACTGACAGACTAGAATCAACATTGTCGGTGACTGCTGGGTCATTCCAGGTTGCTGATGATGTTGACTGGCCTAGATTTGTGGCTTGATTGATGTTATCAGGGCAGGTCAAGGTTGGAACTTCAATATCTATTTCGATATAATATTAAAAGTATAAATGATAGTTGTTGTGACGACTGTCACAGCATGAAATGAAATAAGACACTAAAACATAAATTTATTGTACAAAAATAAAATCCATTTAATATCGTAAAAGTTAAGATAAAACAATGTTTCCACGTGGTTACTTTAAAAATCTGACAACAAATTACGTCTGCAGTTGTTTCGTTCAACAGTGTTACGGGTATATAATATCCGATCATCTATATGAACATAACATTATATAGAATGGTACCCTAACAGACATATGGGACTATGTCCAATCATCTACAGGAAGATAACATTTTATGGAACCCTACCCTAACAAAATTCGTTTGCAAAACAGAGCATGGGGCTCAATAAAAACTGATGTTGAAAGAGTAATAAACATTTATAAGCAGCCTTCAATATAACTGATATAATAACAATACTGATAACATTAACACTAACACCAATACAAATACAATTTAATAACAATACTAGAAGATGTGACCACGACGGTAGTGGCACTAACAAAGAGCCAAATGAGTATAATGATAAAATTTAACATGACTATAAAAGAGCAAAAGGCTTTTCTTCAATGATAAAATGAGAATTGTTTTAGAATTTATAAAGTAAAAATTTAAAAAAAACATGAAAAAGAATTCGGGAAACTCACTACCTAGGCTGTTAATTGTCATTAGACAAATATAATGAGGTGCTACAACACTATTCAAGCAGTGGCGGCTCTGGGATATAATTTATGGGGGGGGGGCCTAATTAAGGTGTCCGACTGGGTGGGGGCTAAGTATTTATGGGTGTAACTAAAGCGCGCAGCGTTATCTGAGGGCCGAAGGCCAAAGCCGGGAGTGGGTATGCCCTCCTCCCAAAAATGAGATTTTTTTTTTTTTAATTGAGGCTATTTTTTTTTTCTTTTGGTTGACTGCCCGATGAGCTTTGACCGATAGAGGGGGGCCTTGACCAGAATGATTGGGGGAGGGGGCTTAAGCTTCCTGCCCCCGGCTGGCGTTGCCACTGTAATTAAGGACTTATACTCCATATACAGGGAGCCTGTATTCAACATACAGGGAGTCGTTATTCAACATACATACAGTACAGTCGCTCCAACTTAACTAAACTTCAAATAATCCCAAAAAAGGCTATCAGGATTATATGTGGCGCTCCATCCCAGTCTCCTTCTTCTACTTTATTGGCTGGGATGGGAAAACAAGGCTAATTTTTTTTTCTTTTGGTTGACTGCCCGATGAGCTTTGGCCGATAGAGGGGGGCCTTGACCAGAACGATGGCATACAGTACAGTCGCTCCAACTTAACTAATCTTCAAATAATTCCAATAAAGGCTATCAGGATTATATCTGGTGCTCCATCCCAGTCTCCTTCTTCTACTTTATTCTCTAATCTCAATCTTCTTAAACTCGCTGATATCAATTCCTTTCAACAATATTTATTTATGCATGACAATTCATTATTGGCTATTAAATTTTTTTTCCCTTTACATCACCTCTAGACTTGCCACAAGTCTCTAATTTATGGATTTTTCGTAGTATTAGCGCATTTCGGAATGCGCCACCAGCGTCAGTTTATGTTGAGAAACTTTTTTGATAAGAAGCTAGCCTTGCTCGCATTGGATTTTAAAAATGGTAAATTTAATCAGGGTAACTTTAACCAAAGTCATGGGTACATATCACCATTTTTCGCACTTGGATTATTCACGCGGTTAGTTTTACCATAGTTTTACCAAGATTTAACCTAGTGTATAAAAAATATTATTGAGGGCGCTAGTTTGTGACTTCAACTTCCGGTTTTGTTCGAGCGGTGTCAACATGGAAGAAATTTTAACCGTGTTGTTGCACGTTCGGATTGGACTTCTTGACCAGCGTGGTTAGTTTAACCAAGACCGTGGTAAGAGAAGTGAGGAAGTTGGGACATGGCTACGTGCAGGTGTGTGGAATATCGTGGTATTGTTAATGGAGTAAAAGAAAACACCAACCAAAACGCCAAAAAAGCTGTATTTCAGAGAAATTGAGACACAAAATTGAAGACAATGGATACCTGGATAAGCTACGGGAGTTGTCGCGGGTACGTTTACGTATTTTTGAAAACAAGTGAATGTCACCAAAAAGAGGAGCAGCCCATCTGTACAGTATTCCCAAGAGCAAAGAGAAATTTGATTAGCGCGGCGAAACATGAACTAACCACCTACAGCTGGTGTAGTGGACGGGACGAGCCTGGCCTATGAGACTCGTCTCTAGATAAAATGATGATGGTAGCAACGAGGCCGGAACTAATGTAAAGGTGCGTCAGTCTTTAAATTACTTATTAGAATTCTGTGTTTATCTTTAATTTATTGTTAAAATAATATAGTGAAACACAGTAAGATAAAATGTTAACCATAAAACTACTTTTTTTAGGAGGGCTATTGTTTGTTAAAGCAAATGAATTTACCAGATACCATTTTTTTTTAGTAATTTTAAAAACACACCTTGCCCTTAATTTAAAAATCAAATAAACAGCCCCTATCACCCCTTCTGTCTGGCTCTGTTGTGAGTGATTGTGAATGCACTTGTTATTGTACCTGCTTGTAAAGTACTTTTACTTATTCTTCAGTTTTCAATCAGTTGATGGAATTTATATTTTCCCATATTCACAAAATGTCGCAGCCCTAATTCTATCTAGAGAAGGTACACTAACTTTAACCATAGCCTATTGGCTAACCTATATTTAATTGCTATTAATAATTCACATTTTCACTATGAGACAGACAGGGATCTCTGACATTAAATAATTTATCAATACTATAATATATAATTATTAATGATCATAAAATAATGATAAGGTCTATGTTAAATGTGCCATGGTTATGGAAAGTAGTCATGCCTATATGAAAATTTGGCTAGGACATAGTTGGACAAACTATTCATAAATTTAAAAAAAAATGATATATGAATTTATAATTATAAAATGCCATTGTCTTTATTTTACAGGTTTATCTCATACAGTTTTTATCGTATACAGTACTGATGTTGCAGAAATTGTTGATAATTTTTTGATTAAAATTGATATATTGTTGTTTAGATCTATTTATTTAATTGTTTTGCAGGAATGGATATTCTGTGAATAGTCTAGCCGGATGATCCCCACTGACTTGCCGTCAAGTTAAGAAACTTGAGACACTTAGCATCTGATGGAGAAGCACAAATTCCTGTATACCAAACCCAGTGTCATTTTGATATTAATTGTACTGAAATATACTACTGTATATTAATGAACAATTAAATACAGTATGATCCTTCCTGTATTCTTTTGCATTGACATTAAATTGACTAGGTAATTAATATAGTAAATTGTTTGTTAATTAGTGAAAATTTCCTAAAGCAGTTAATACAGTAATATATATGGTAAAACACTGAAAGATCAACAAATAAAGTTTGAAATGTAAAATCACTGTGGTTTGGATCATTTTTTGAGTTTCGTACAGTGACAGTTACAATGTATTTTAATCCAAATACATGCAACTAAATTGTTTTCTCATTACCTGCAATGTAGACTCTTTATTTTTACAAATTAAACAGAATGATTATATTTATTGAAAAATAAATCTGATAGCTATGGAGATCAGAACAATTAAAAGAATTGCACATTTTCTCCCTTTTGTCTATTTGTTTTATTTATGGCCCAATAGAATGCTATAAATTTTGTTGTAAAATAAAGTTTGAAATGTAAAATCACTGTGGTTTGGATCATTTTTTGAGTTTCGTACAGTGACAGTTACAATGTATTTTAATCCAAATACATGCAACTAAATTGTTTTCTCATTACCTGCAATGTAGACTCTTTATTTTTACAAATTAAACAGAATGATTATATTTATTGAAAAATAAATCTGATAGCTATGGAGATCAGAACAATTAAAAGAATTGCACATTTTCTCCCTTTTGTCTATTTGTTTTATTTATGGCCCAATAGAATGCTATAAATTTTGTTGTAAAATTTGGAGTTGCATATTACTCACTGTAACTTAGAAATAATAAAAGAAAAAAAATTGATACTAAGGGGTGAAATGTGTTGTGATAAATTTAAGATTAAAATATAAATGTATTGAAAAACAAATGGATGTCATGAAATTAAATCAATTAGGCCTCCTTGTTGGCCAACGTACTGTACAATGAATAATAAATTAAACTTTCTCATTAAACAATAATTTATTACTTAGCTTCTCATCAAATGTTAATTTAAAAAAAGAAAGATATATTTATTCATTGTTTAAATCTCGGAAATACAGCTTTATGCAAAGGATGCAATTATCCATAGACACGATGATATTCACCCATTCGTCGTACGTAGCAAATTGAGGTTCCTAAATCTTAGCCAGTTTGAAAAAATAAATATTTATATTATTAGTATTAATGCTATATTAACTACAACAATTACATTACTGTATGTTAAAACTTTCAAATAGATGTCTGCAAACCCGACGTGAATATTGACTATTGTGCTCTCTCTAGGCTAGGCCAAACCTGAATGTGCTGAACCCGGCGAGAAAGCATGAGCTTGGCTGTATCTTATCGAATAATACTGTCCGGCGTGAAGTTGGTTACTTTCTATGCAGCACACTTCTGTTGTGAAGGTGCGTTTAAATATTACCTCCATGGTTGAATCAAAGAGTATAAATAGAACAAGAGAGCAAAGTCTCGTTCGTAAAAACGTCATGCCTGTGTAGGACGCCCACTAACGGTTGTATGTTCTTTTTATTACCCAGTGCAGCGCTGCGCAGCGCGGTATAGAAGTACGCCCGCTATAAACTCAGTAAGCAGAAAACAAAAGTACAGTATCTTGTGGAGAACAGATAAACAGACAAACTGACCGTGCGCGGTGGAGTACTGGGTAATAAACATAGAGATATAATAAGAATACTAGAGCGCTAACAGCAATGTATTCGATGTTCGAAATACGCAGAGCTGTGTGTGTGTACCATCCAAGATGGCTGCCATAGATTCAGCCAATCAAATTTCCCCTGAGCACTATCATTTTCAATTGCGCCCTCAATTTACACAGAAAGTTCAGTACAGCTAGTTACCCGTATTTTGAAACTCGAACGTTGCGGTGTATGGGTGTAATGTACACAATTTTAATTCTTTTTAATATTTGAATAAGATGCTCTACTTGGCCTCTTTTTGGCTACGACAGTTTTATAATTTGTCATTATCAATACTAATTATCATTAATGAAATAATATTCAGTCAGAGGGCTTATTTTTGGTAATAATATGTATACTAAGCCTGAAGGTGGCGCTTTCCTACGGCAGTGGCGCTTTCCTACGGCAGCCATCTTGGATGGTACACATACACAACTCTGCATTGCTCCGCCATCTTGTCAGCACTCTCGTTGTTTAATAGCTCTATGGTAATAAAACACATACAAGTGTTAGTTGGCGTCCTACACTAGCTGCGTATGGGCGTATCGTTTTTTTACGCTCTCAATGAGCGTTGTTGGCTCTCTTGTTCTATTTATACTCTTTGGTTGGATGGACCATGGAGGTATTATTGAGAAGGAGATCACTCGAAAAATATACGCGCACGCAGCGCTATGCAAATGAACCAAGGTCAAAGCTGCCGTGAAGAATGTTTGCGCGATGCCTTTGAAGTCTGATGTGCTCCCCGCCATCAAATTTTCAGCAGGCATAGTTTACCAAAAAATTGGACATGGCGAAATGGAGAGTACCTTCTTTTGTCGATGCGCACGACATACAATCAATTACTATTTCTGCGCAATCATTTCCATTTTGAAGCTGATACATTTATCTCTCATAGAATATAAAACATATTAATATTTTCCACCAAAAAAAATTTAGAATTTAATGGAACATTTACATGACCTTTAAAAGTATAGTATATTTCAACTTCAATTTCCATAAATTGGCCAAAATTCGCTAATTCTAATTTTAACAGATATTAATTAATAAATGATTGAGGATTATAATAAACTAAGTCATTTTAAGGTTAACAAGGGTTAACTATTCGAAAAATCAATCCAAAATCTGAGTATTTTTCAGTTTTACGCTGACTTAGCTTTATAGTCGAACTAATCAATCTTTAGACAAAATTATAATGAACACAGAAGTAATTTTAACATAAATATTTTACGGAATCCGTTCCTGAAATATACAAATAATAACATACCAAAAGTCTAAAAAAATCTAATCAGGGGAACACTGTTCATTATAAAGATATTTAATGGGATAAAATCAAACGCTTTATTGCACAACTGCTCTGCTGAAAGCGTATAAATGCATGTTGTTGCCAAGTTGTTGCTGACGAAAAAGTGTGAATTATAGGGTAATATGCCCGCGCGCGATGCAAAAGCGGGGAACACATGGGTTTGTCGCGTTAAAGGGAACTGTTGCCGAGTGATCTCCTTCTCAATAATACCTCCATGGTTGGACGAATTGTGATAGGGGCCTAGCACTCGTCGCGGTGCACAAGCTGAGCTGACCTGAATCCTTCTTATCATAAGCTTGTCCGAGGGGAAGCGTAATTAGCATATTTAATTTATGCCGCGGTAATTAGCCAATCAGAAATCAAAGTTGTTAAATACGTCATACACCACGAAATCGTGGTGCCTGCACACGAAATCCTCACTGTTTTCCCAGTTCCTAATCCCAGAAAAAGTATACTATGGAACGCCATGCAAATAAGTAATATGGAACGCCATTTGTGCCAAAATCGATTTATTCTTAAGCATTTCAACTGATTAAGAAAAAGATTAGGGACTGGGACCCCAGTCTACATCACCTCATCCATCTTTCTGTTTTGTCCTGTGTTATCTCAGTCTTTTTTAACCTCCTTTTCTTTCCTTCTAATAT